ACGCTTTTCTCTTCATGTCTTTTCTTTTTCATTTTTTTCCTTTTATTTCTTTCTCTTTCTCTTCATTCCTTTTATTTCCTATTTTCCTTTCCTCTGTTTCTTTCTCTTTATTTTCCCTCCTTTTTTTATTCTGTTTCCTTCCTCTTTTTCTATCCTTCTGTTTTTTTTTCTCTCTCATTTCTTTCCATCTGTTTCTTTCTTTCTCCCTCTCTTTTCCTTTTTTTCTTCTTTCTATTTCTCTCTATTTCTTACTGTTTCTTTTTCTCTTTTTGTTCTATTTTTCTCTTTCTCTCTCTATTCTTCCTTGTCTCTCTTTTTTCCTTTCCCTCATTTTTTCCTCTTTCCTTATTCGTTCCCTTCATTCTCCTTCTCTCTTTTCTTTCTGTTTATCCCTTCTTCTTTCTACGCCTCTCTTTCTCCCTGTCTACTATTCATTTTGTTCTTCGTAAATTTTTTTTTTTTTATTTGCAATAGAAACTTACAAACCTGAGCAATTTGTAGTAACTACACCTGCGGTAATCGTCAAGCCGGGAATACCAGGAACGCGGAACAATGCGCACACGCGTTACACCTGCACTTGAATCGTCCTCGTCACTTAATTACAATTGTTTCCAGGCCTAATGGAATAATTCCATTAGTGACACGTAAAACAACAAAAAATAAACAAAATTCTTAACATTGTTTTTCCAAATAATATTGTTACGATTTTTAATTAAATTTAGAAATCTTAATTCCAATAATTTTTTTTAAATAAATATTTAAATACCTGCTTATTTTTCCACAGCAATTAAGATATTTTAAATGATCTGAATATAAAGCCTTTTTTAAATTAAACCATATTTCTAAAAATTACAACTGTAATTCTTCAAAAATTGAATCTTTTTTTTGGTTGAAATTTTTTAAATAAAATTATTCAAAACTTCAATCATTTTATTTTTAAAAAAAATGTAATATTATTAGTTTTATAACAATTAAAATTTTCAAAGATTACAATATAAAAATCTTTTGAAATTTAATTATTTCTATAGTAATTCACACCATAACGCTTCTATAATATAAAATATTAAATTACTATCTGAAATTTTAACTGAAATTCAATTTTAAATCAATTCTTATTAGAAAGTTCTACAAGAATTCAATTGTTTAAATGCAAAAATAAATAAATAATTGAATAATTGAATATTTCTTAAAATTGAATTCTTATAAAGAGCTTTATTAAAACTTTTTAAAATAACTGAATTATTACGAAGACTTTCATTAAAATTTTTGAAAATAATTAAATTGTTTCAAGAAATTTAATTAAAAATGTATTGAAAACAACTATTGAATTTTAATAAACAAATTATAGGATTGAAACTTGTTTAAATAATTGAATTCTTTTGAGGAATTTTTTATACAATTTTTAAGAATGAGTTTTTTTATTTACCAAATAATTTAATTTTTGCAACGAATTTTATTAAAATTTTAAAAAATAATTCAATTCCTAAGAATTTTATTATTTATAAAAATAATTGAATTCTTGCAAAGAACTTTACTAAATTTTTTTGTAAATACACAGTTTTTGTAAAGTTATCAAATTGAGACAAAAAGCATATCAAAATATTGCTTTGCAGTTGCAAAGCACTGCAAAGCAAAATTTTGATACGTTTTTTGTCTCAATTTTGATATCTGAAGAAAAACCGTAATAAATGAATTCTTAAGAAATATTTTATAAAAATCCTTTTAAATAATTGATTTTTTTGAAAAATTTTGAGAAAATGATATTTTACAATAATAATAAATCACTGTGAAAATGTTATTATATTTATGAAAATAATTGAAAGCTTGCAAAGAATTTCATTTAAGAATTTTTTTTACAAAAATTGCATTCTCTTACGAAATTTGTTGAATTGTCTATAAATTTTATTAAAATTTGTTAAATTGTCTCTAAAAATTTTATTGAAATTTTTAAGAATAAATCTAAAAAGAAGTATATCGAAAATAGTAGCAAATCGTAAAAAATTAAAAAAAATACTGAATAGTAGGTTTTAGTAGCTTACAAAATTTTTCCTTAATAAAATTAGGTGCAAATATTTATTACAAAATTGTTCCTTAAAAATCAAGATTTGTTACAAAATTTTTCCTCAATAAAAATTAAGTAAAAAAAAATTTGTCACCTAAAAATTGCGCCTTCTAAATATTGTGAGAGAGAACAATACAAATCTAACTTAAATGTTTTTTAATTCTCAAACAATAAATAACAAATTCCTACTAGTCATATATTCCCCCTATAAAAAGAAAAGAGAAAAAATTCTTATAGAACAATTTCTCATCATGTAATTCCTCTGTTGTGACTTATTTCACTATTTCTGCTTGATACTGTCTTCGATCTTGTTATATATTGAAAACGTGTTTTCTATGGTGTGAAATGCGTACATATAAAAGTAACTTATATATATAAATTGCCTTCTGAGTCAATTGATTCAGACACGTATACATATATATACATATACACGTACAGAGGAGAGGAAGTATTTTCTTCTCTCACACGTGAATTTATAAATATATACGTATCCACTATATAGTAAATGAGTATGTAATCACGTGAGCACAGACTCCAGATTTAACTTCGATACCGGAACGTCACAGAGCGGAAATTAATCGTTCTGTAACATCCTGACTGCATCGTGTGAGATCTGATGGTAATGAGATAAAATAAGTTTTCTACATGTGCGAAGGAGGCTCGAGGAACATCACTGTAAAGTTGTTTAAATGTCATGCTCGAACTAGGAAGATACGCTTCTCCTTCAAACTGTTATGTAAGAATGTCATCATGAATAGCGCGCCAATAAAATGTTCAACGCACAATTCAAAAAGAAAAAGCCAAAAAAAATTCCTTCACTCAATAATGAATTGAATTTCAATTTTTTCAACAATTACAATTTCAATACCTATTTATAGAAAATTATTTACTTCCTATTTTATCAATATTAGATTCTTATTTTATATATCTAATGTTTTTATATTTTATTTTTTATTAATACATTCGTGTTTTGCATTTTTGTACTTTTATATTTTATATCTTTATTATTTGTATTTGTAAATTGCAATGAACCATTTTTATTTACGCATTTTTGTATTAAATTGTATTTATAATTTTATATATTTAATTCTATTTAATATTTAATACTTCATTTAAAAACTTGATCGAATTTTTAATTATTATGGTACTAATCATTTTAATTTAATTTATTAATTCAATTAATTTTACGTAATTAAGTACCAATTTAATTAATTCTTAATTGACTTAATTACCAATTTAATTACCTATTTAGTAAATTGTCAATTTAGCCAATGATAAATTTATAAATAATTTAATTATTTACCATTTTAGTTAATTACCGAAATTTAATTGACAGTAATTATTAAATAAAATATATTTATAAGCTTTACATCTATTTTTAAAAAATACATTTATTTTGACAGATTTTATTGAATAAATAAATGAATAAATTTTTTCTGAAATTTCCTGTGACGAGTGTAATAAATTAAAATTTTGACCATGTTTTTAAAAATTGATCACTTTTATTGTTATTCTTATTATTATTCTTTTATATAAAATAAACAGTTATAAAACTTAGAATTGATTAAAAGACGTTTTTAAAATTCTAAAACCAGAAGCCCTGAAGCGTATGTGAGCGTCTCTCCTGGGAAAATGAATATCGACTGGAAAAAATTTTGCCCCTGGCTTTGCAATATTCAAATATATTCGATTATTTGCAATCTTAAATTCGACTCATGTTTCATAAACGATCATTAACACGCCTTCTTGATTTGTGGGGGGCATAAATTAAATTTAGTGTAAATTCTCTATGCGAAAGACGATTTTCTATAAATACAGGAAAACCCAAAGGCTACATCAGTTTATAATTTCATGTGATGGCAATAATTCGTAATCAATTTTGTAAAATTTCCAAACCTAACTGAAAATATATAGCTGAAAAAAGTATTTTTTTCGAATTTTTATTCTACTCATCGTATTACAAAAAAAAAAATTACTAAACTGTTCCCCTTAAAAAAAACCGGATATTTTTAACAAATTTTAAAAGATGGACTATCTTTAAAAAATTTATTCTCTTTCAAGCAAAATTTTGAAACAAATATCACACAACACTCACATAATATACTTATCTACAAAAAGTACATTTTAATATAAAAAAATCGAATTTGCTATCTTTTATTTTTCAAAAACAATTTTCGTTTAAAAAAAAAAATTTTGAAGTAGCATAATATTTTTTTAATTTTCTAAAAAGATTTTAAGAAACATGATAAATTTTTCTCATTCTGTACTTATAATTTGTTGTGCACAACAATTTTGTTGTTGTTGTGTACAATTTTCTACATTTTTAACCCTTAATCAATGACGAATTTTAAATCCTTTATTAATTAGAATAATCACAGTTTACTTATATTACATTTAAATTTTTATGATACATATATTTCACTTTTTTATAGATAATGCAGAATAATGGAATTATTATCAAATTGTTATATTTTATGACATGTTTGTAAAATCATTCTTTGTCATTGCTGAATAACCTTGTAAAATTAAAAAATGACATGTATTATTTTTAATTAACCTAAATCTTTGATTACTATAGTGTATTATACTTAAAAAAATAACAACAAAAAATAAACAATAACATTTTTTGTGAAATACTTTTTCAAATAAAATAGTTGTAAAGTGCACGTGTACAATTTTCTATATTTTTAACAGAAAATAATTTTGAATTTAAAGCAAGATAAAGTTTAATATTAAGAAAAATTTTGTAAATTAGTCATAACCTAGAAGGATGTCAGGAAACTTGTGATTACAATACAATTTTTATTTAAAAATAGTCTGTAACTGTCACGAAATATTTATCTAGTAAAATAAATATTATAAAATATTTTTAAAGTGGAATTCCACGTGAAATCGATTCATTATAAACTATTTAAATAACAAAATAAATATTTATTACCTTTAGTTCAATCAATAATGAAATAAAACAAACTGCACATCTCACAGTGTACTGAGAAAAATGTTAGAAATTAATAAAAATAAATTGTTTAAACAAATAAAGAGTGCAACGTAATATTAGTAAAATTTTTTACATAGAAAAAAAATAAAGTGAAGAATACAAATGTAAATATATAATATCATTACATATCATTACTCACGATTGACAAACATTAAAACATTATTTTTTATAGCTCAGTGGTATATATACAGAGGAAAAATTTTCTGAATTTCCCTATTGAAACTTGATTCAAAATAAAAACTAAAATGAATAATTTTCGTAGTGTTTTTATTCTACTTGTTATTAGCATTACTGCTGGGGTAAATTGTCTACCGACCCATGTACAAGAAGTAATATTTAACGTTATTTTATTTGTAGAGAATTTTGTCGATTTAATTAAATGCAAATTTCTAGTAGCTAATACTTATTTTTATACATAATTTTAATAATTAAAAAAGTTAATTGTCGAATTAAATGAACAATATTTTAAAAATATTTTATCATATAATTGACAAAATTTTATTAACATTTATAATCATAAATCTAAAATTTATCATTTAATTTTAAGTTTTTATATTGTTCTTTCTTTCTCAGGATATTCAAAGACAAATCGATGTAAGTAACATATAATAACAAAATAAATATTTTTTATTAATTTAAAAGTTATTTGAAATTGACAATTATCATTTTGTGTATTTTCCAAAAATGCTTGCATTTCGATATTGTTCCTTTCCTTTCAGTCATTACGAGATGATTATGAGGTAAGTGTAACATCATAAGAAAATATTTTCCAAAATAATTTGTAAATAATTTATAACTTTGTTCGCACTTTTCTCTGTTTATTGAGGGTAGTATTTTTAACAAGTACAAAGCTAAACAAATTAATTACAGTGTATTTTGTCATGTAATTACAATGTGTAACAACTTTTCAAGAATCTGACCCCAATATTTAACAAACGTTTTTGTAATTTTTTTTCTCTTTTTAGAAAAGAACGCAAAAATTTGAGAATGTAAGTCCAATATAATAAAAAAAATATTTTTAATAATAATTGTTCATATGCAAAAATGCGATTATTGAATTTTACACAATAGTAATGGAAAATGTATTTGGAATTTTACTTTAAAACTATAATAATAGTTTTAAGGTTGCGTATTTTATTGTAACATTTATATTTTTTCTATTTAACTTTGTCTTTTCTTTTTCAGTTAGTATTGAGACATTATAACGTAAGTTTAACATAATAACAAATTGAATACAGTTAAACCATTGATGAATGCCGGATTTTAAATCTCTTAGAATAATCATAGTTAACTAATTTTACATTTAATTTTTTTTGTTACAAATATTTTACGTTTTTAGATTAAAAAACAACAATTTGAGGTAATTTTAATATAATTACAATATAAATATTTTTAAATAAATTTGAATTATTTAAACTTTTCTTCTTCGTTATTTACAAATAATTACCAAAAACATAAATAGTTTTAAAACAAAATTTTAATTCTAATTGTAATGAAAATTATATAATGAAATTATTAAGTATATTTCGAGTTCAATAATCAATATTGTTATTTCTTGGAGTTAATGTATTTTAAGAAAAATCATTATTCTCAACATTTGCATTTGGGATGAGCATTTTTGTTTTTTTTCTTTTTATTAGAGAGAGGCAGAAAAATTTGAGGTAAATGTAATGTATGTGTTATAGTTAAAGTCCGAAATTCAGGTAATGTGCACATTAACTAGTTAATCTGCGGATTACCTGATCAAATCCGTTAAAGTTCGAAAGAAAATTTTTTTTTCGAACATTAACTAGTTAATGTCCAGATTAACTAGTTAATGCGAACATTACCGAGTTTACTTTCGTTGAAGTGCGAAAAAATGATTTAACTGAAATAAAACATGAATTATTATTATTGCTTCAGAGTAAAATTACTTTATTGAATAACAAGTGTACAATATTAGAACTTTTTTAAAAATAAACTTATTACTTATATATTAAATAATTAATATTAATTATTATTATATCATTATATTAATTATAATTAATATAATAATTGATATCATTATTCAAATTGTTATTCAATTTTATTACTTTTTTTAAAAATAAACTTATTACTTATATTATTGCAAGATAAAGACTGGTGGCATTTGGAGTTACAAAAATTAAAAAAAAATTATATAATAATTATTAATATAATTATTATTAATTATACTGTTTTAACATAATAAATTATTTATTTAATTAATTTAAAATTAAAAAAATATATGTATATATAATAATTATTTTTTAAATTAATTATTTAAAAAATATCAGGCAGAGAAATATTTACTTTTGGCCTCTAAAAACCAATGTGCCTATTTTTTACTTGTAAAGTTTGCATATTATTTTTAAACATATTGCAGTGAGTTCGTACATAAAAACTAAACATTTTTCTCTTTGGAACCCCATCTCTATAAATAATTGTTTCTGAGATATTCCATTTGTAACAACTGCACACTGTAACAACCGCACCTAGTCTCCCCTACTTACTTTGTCTCTTTCTAAATTGATAGACAGAGTCTCGAATTTCACGAAATCGAGATCTTTTCGCACTTTAACGGTTTGATTCTCGTTAATGTTAGCATTACCTAGTTAATGTCCGAATTTCTCACTTTAACTGTGAATCTTAGGGAATCCGCAGATTAACTAGTTAATCTCTACATTAACGGATTTCGGTCTTTAACTATAACATATGCATTATGAAAATAAAGGTTTCCAATTTATTTCGAATGAGCATTTATTTTTTTTTTTCATTTTTAAGATCGAAACAGCAAAATTTGAGGTAAGTATAATATATAATATAAGAATAAATGTTTTCAATTTATTTGGGATGAGCATTTGTTTTGTTTTTTTCTTTATTATAGAGAAAAAAGGCAGTATTTGAGGTAAATGTTCAACAATATCAAAATAAATGTTTTCATTTAATGTTTAAGTAATATTGTAATTTTCTATTTTATAAAGTTTCACTTTTTTAGTCACAAACCTTAATCATGATTTAATTTTTTTTTTTTTTAACAGAACATTTTTTTAAAAAACAGTTTCTATTTTTAAGAGTAGTTTAAAATTTATTTCCTCCAGTTTAGAGTTGCTGCATTAATCCAAATATTAGGCAGTACACATACATCTAAGAAATGTTTGCTTTATTCTAAAAATGTGATTCCAGGAAGGAAATGCGGAGATCATGAGTCTAATTCATGATTTGGAGCAAAGAATAAATAATGCAGAATAATGGAATTATTATCAAATTGTTATATTTTATGACATGTTTGTAAAATAATTCTTTGTCAATGCTGAATAAACCTGGTAAAATTAAAAAACGACGCGTAGTCTTTTTGCTTAAAACCTCATTGGTTTCTGTATAGTTATATTTTGTTTACTGTTATTCTTACGGAATTAATTAGAAACTAATTTTAATTATTATTATTCGACAGTGACTATAACCTTGATGTTCATTTTTTAAGTCAAAATAAGATTAAAAAATCGCACTCCTTTAGTTAATTTTTACCAATTTTTATGATTAAATAAAAAAATTTCCTTTTTTACCTGACAAAAAAAAAATGTCAAATAATTTTGCTTAATTAGTTTTTAAAACGCTCATAAATTTTTGCGAACACAGAGAGACAGAGAGAATATGTGAATATAAGAAAACGCAATATTACACACATATTATAATTACTAAAATGCATCCTAGTAATTATTTGCAAATAATTTATATTCGAGAGAACAATAATTAGTTTTCAACTTTTTTTCCCAATTCGATTTGTGTCTTTTCCTTTGCGCGTATAAATTGGGTTAATGACGGAAATGCTGCAGCATCAAAGAATAAACTGAGAAAAAGAGAGAGAAAAAAAGCATTACACGTCAAGGACACGGGAATTTCTTGTATATTTTAAACGAGCCTCCATTTACAGAAGCTGTAACTAAAATCCATCGAGTCGAATTGAAGTGTATAAAATGAAAATAGTGAGTGAGGCACAAAGCCAAGAGGGCAAATAGCACACACACACACGTTAAAGAAAAGAGAGCGAATATACATAAACGAGCGTAAATAACGACCTTGCGATGTCTCTTCTGGTAAAATGGAATTTGCGGGTGATTCGAGACAGTTTGAGTCGATCTAACGGCCAAAGTATAACTACAAGTTGAAGAAGACGAAGAAAAAGAAGAAGAAGAAGAAGGAGATTTTCATTCTTTTGAAAAAAGAGAAGCGCGCCTAATTGTTTCTCCGGAGCTATTCAAATATAAAAATTTAACAGAAGGCGAGAGAGAGAGAGGAGCAACATCAGCAAACAGCAAAGCAATCTCATTGCTTCCGACGAGATTGAGGAGAAAGATTCCGTTATGCCATGACACGTTGTTACCGTGGCGTCTGCTTATATACTCTGTTATTGGCCCGTAAAACGACCTAATGAATGCATCGCCCATGGCAACACTCGGTCAGTAAAACAATTTCAAGATAACTTGCGTGCATTATCTACACACCCTGAGAGTAGGTCGGTTTCGACGCACACACACACACGTTTTGAAATTAACTGCAAAATAGAAACGGTAGGCTAATATAAAATTGCGGATGTTGATACTGTTACTGAAGAATATTATTCCTCTCTTACATTGAGAAAATTATTTAGTCCAAGGAACCAAAATTTTCCTCTCCCAACCAAATATATTTCTATTCAAATTAAATATATCAATACAATACATTATAATAGTCGTAAGTTTCCCTTTCCGTTAGCAAATTATCTGCATTCATTTATTTGTTTTGAAAATTAATTTTTGCGGGTTATTGTCATTTTTTTTTTTTTTTTTTTATATGTCAAACTTTTCAACGGTTGGGTTTATAAAATTTAGGAGCGCATGATTTCACTCAAATTAAAATATTTATAATTGTCATATAAGTATCGGAATTTTAGATTTAATAATCATCATTTACTCGAAAGGTATGTGTCTATAATTTAATGTTAACACTATTATAATATTGAGAATAATAGTTAATTTCTTAAAAATAGTTAAATTCTTTTAAAGAATTTCTTTCAATTTTTTTTAAATAATAAAGTTTCTTTAATAATTTTAATTAAAAATTTTGAAAATAATCGAATTTTATGAAAAATTTCTTTCAAGTTTTCAAAAAAATCGTGTTTGTTAATAATTGAAATTAAACCTTTAATTACATAACGAATTTTATTAAAAATTTTAAAAGATAATTGAATTCTGTTGACTTATTTTATAACCAATTAAGAAAAAATTGAATTCTTCCGTAAAAATTTTTTGAAACTAATTTTTGGCAAGGAATTTATTATTTATAAATATAATTAAATCGATTCAAAGGATTTTTTTAAATTTTAGAAAAAAATTGAATTTTCTCGAAGAATTTATTAAAATTTTAGAAAATAATTGAATTCTATTGAAATTTTTTATAAAGATAAGAAAAAATTAAATACTTTCATGACATTTTTTTAAAAGTAATTGAATTTTTGTAACAAATTTTAAAAAATTGAATTCTTTCATGAAATTTTTTTGATAATAATTGCATTTTCACAAAGAATTTTATTATTTATAAATATAATTGAATTGTTTCAAAGGATTTATTAAAATTTTAGAAAATAATTGAATTGTATCATGAAATTTTTTTGAAAGTAATTAAATTTTTGTAACGAATTTTAAAAAATTTGAATTCTTTGGTGAAATTTTTTTAAAAGTAATTGAATTTTTGCAAAATATGTTACTGTTTTTAAAAACAATATTGAATCCTTACAATGAATGTTATTATTTATGAAAATAATTGAATACTTGCAAAGAATTTTATTAAAATTTTTAAAATTAATAAACAAGAATAATTGATGACCTAATAATTGAATTTTTTTAAAGTTTGAATCTGAAATTATTCAAAAATTCATATTTGAAAATAAAAAGTTTTGTAATTTTTATAATAATAATAAATGGAATTTAATATACTTTAAACTTTTGAAATAATATACATTGAAAATTTAATTCTAATTAGTTTCTCAGTTATGTATGATAATAATTATTTCTTTAAAAATTTCTTAAATTAAAATGACTGTCCACACTTTAAAGTTAGTTTTTGTGTATGCTTTTTTTTTGTTTTTTTTTTTTTTTTAAATATTGTTTGACAGATTGAAAATATGCAGGTATTTCTTCATGATTTATAATAAAACAATATTTGAAATTAGAAAATATAAAAAAAATTATGATTAACAAATAAATTTTGTTTATTATATGCTTTTTCTATAACAAATTTCGTTTGACTGATCTAAATTATGCAAATTTTTCTTCTTTTTATTTATAAAAAATATGAGAAATTTATTAATTGTTAAAAAATTATAATTAAGAAATAGGAAATATACCCATTTTATGCATAATTTATATTTCTCAATAAAAATATTGTTCAGAGACTCATTCTTTTCTTTTGAAAAAGAAACATTACATATTCTATTCTATTTGTCAATTACAAATTTTAATTGAAAATGAAATTAAAAACTTTTAAATTTTTAGAAAATAATGAAAAAATTTTACTCAAAAAAATGTTCTGTTACACTTATTTACGAATTTCTTTAATTGTAAAATTATTCCAAAACATCAATAACTTTTCTTTTAAATAAATATTTAATTAATATTATTTTTCCATATAGCAATTAAGAATTTCAAAACTTTTAAATTCAAATCTTTTTAAATTCAATAACTTATAATAATTAAAGATGACCGAGAGGTAAAATCATTGTTTTATATTATAAGAATAGTATTACAGTAACTTTTTTTCAAAATTATTTTCATCATTTCAAATCAATTATTATTTTCTACAATTTTTCATTATTTTTTATGAAAATAATTGAATTATTGCGAAGGAATTTATAAAAAATTTGTAAATAATTGAATTCCTGAGAAATTTTTATTATTTTATGAAAATAATTAAATGTTTGCGTACTATTTTTGGAAATTTGTAATTGATTCGAAAATAATTGAACTTTGAACTTTGGGGAAGAATTTTGTTATTTATAAAGATAATTTGGGATTTTGACGAGAATTTTTTTTTAATTTGAAAGATAATTGAATTTTATGAGAAGAATTTTATCACTCTTGAAAATAATTGAATTTCTGCAATTATTTGTAATTTTTCCAAAATTTGATTTTTTAAAATGTTTTCAACAAAAATTTGAATTAAAAATTTTGAAATTCTATTATTTTTAAAATTGGTAATTTTATCCTAAAAAGTTAGTAAATTGTTGCTAGTGGTATTAATAATAATATATACTTATAATTTCGTTAAATGTTACGAAAAAGAAAAATGTATTTTTTAACTCTTTTTCCAATGTGTAAATTTTCGACAAATTCCATATGGTTATTGGAGATGAGATGGAATAAAAATTATGCCATATGTTCTCCAGGGAGATTAGATATCTTTGTTCTCTCTCTCTCATCGTATATATATGTATATGTATATGTATATATATATAAAGGGGGAGATTGCAGGATGAATAACGTCCTTGATCTGCGAGCTACGGACCTAATTAGCCATGAAAGAAGTAATGAGCTTGTGTAACAAGGCTCGCGAGTTACTTCCCGAGATGCATTCGAGCTGCGTTAATTTTGATAAAGCAGCGTAATTTAAATGCTTGTACGGAATCTTCTATCAATCTTGGTCAGAGGTGTATATAGTATATACACATGTATAAATGAAGGAGATGAATAACGAAGAAATAAAGGGAGAATGAGACGTCATTTGCGAGGGATTTTCAAGTTTATAATTACACCCTCTGACATTACACGGAGAAAAATTATTTTTAATGATTACAATAGTCTACATTACAGCTCGGATATGTGACCACTTTTTGGAATGATTACGAAGACTATGTAATGTGTTAAGAATTTAGTAGGAACGATTACTATAGCTGTTGTAAGGGATACCTTAATGTTTGTACTCCTTACAACAGCTATAGTAATCATAACAAAAAGTGGTCACATATCCGAGCAGTAATATAGACTATTGTAATCAGTACGAATAAATTTTTCTCCGTGTAACAACAATAAAGCTCATCGTCAATTCTTATCATCAAGTTTTTGTCTATTTTTTTTATCTTCATTTGCAACAAGATTTTTACAGAAAATTACTACAACTACTGCAACCAGTGACTGTTGAACATCAAAAACCATTTGATGTAACTATTAATGGATTAAAATACTCCTAATTTTTATTTATTTAATTCTATACATGTGTTCATCAAGGAAATCCTTTCCTACATAAGTACTGATATAGAATATTGTATACTCAAAAAAGAAAAGCATTTGACTAAAATGTAAACGGTTT